TTTTATAACAAAACATCACAATTATATTAGACGCTGCAAAATGAAAAATAATACAAAATACAGTATTTATAAATGTTCATTCTTTAATACAATGTAGGTAAGTTAACGGCCTTTGGCGTATTTACTTCAAAAAAGTAAGCGTTAACATATTTTATTTTCATAATGACTTACACATGCCGATTGCTTTTTTATTTCTTTTTTTTAAATGTTACCCCCACACTAGGATTTTCTCCTGTGTCGTGGAGACAGTTTACAAACATAAATTGCACGAGGCCATACATCCAGACCCGGAAAAATTATTTGTAGGCCATACAAATACTTGTGCCGTGCGGGATTCGAACCCGCGGCTCCCAGCGCAACAACTCATAGCTAAGCCACTGTGCCACGGAGCCGTCGACCACCTTTGAATGGAGCATAATGGTGCAGCAGCAGAAATTGTATTTGCAAAGACATGCTTTTAATATAAAATTACATTTTACAGGTGTGATTTTATTTCGCCTTAACTAAAAAATACGTCCTAAATATAACTTGTAATGTGGCTTGTCAAATTATGTATTCCGTATCGTTATGTATACAAGAATAATTTTACGGGTCATCGTTTAATGACATAGTTGGTATAGCAGATACCAGCAGTGTCAAGAAAACCGTTTCAAGAAAATGACACAATAAAACATCTCTGACTAAAACCCCTATCAAGTGTCTAAGTTCACGTGGATGTTATAGAAAAAATAGACATCGATAACGACGTACTCGTGCCTCACCAGATAATAAAATTAATACACACTTCCACAATATTATACCTATCAATATTTAACGACTTCTTCGGAAGTCTGGATGCACTCCTTCTAAAATAAATGATTGCCTATTTTTTACTGAATTACCAATTACACTTCTTCAACTCCTAAATCAGAGATGCCAGAGCAGTACTTGCTGACCACTCACCTGCCTTTGCACGCGCTTTAGAAAACGATGCTTAATGCATCTTTTTAGCAGTGGACCCGAAGTCGACAGACCAGTAATACTGTCCAACCACTTACTCTCTGCATACGCTGAACGATAGGTACTCGTCACCATCCACCCACACTTTCAACACCAAGCCTGAAGTTGATAACTTAACACTGTCCGACCGGTGAACTGTCTCTGCGTATGTTGTATTAAACGACGCTAACCCCAGATTTTCCAGGCAACACCGGCCCACCGCTCACGCGCGTCTTCACACTATTTAATTGCCGATGATCATCTCCATCTTCCTTTTACTGAACCAGAATTTGACAGTCTAATATTGACAAACCATGATGCCGCAGTGAACAAGTCAATTTGATTTAAAGAGCCGTTTTACTGAATATCTGTGCATCATATATTATATTTTAACCAAAATATGTTAAAAAAGTAATTATTAGTAAGTAGTATTCGTGTTGATTAATTAAGCACTTTTAAATAACATGTTTATTACTAAAATATGTACTGCAATTACTACATGTTATCTAAAGTAAGCGTAACATATTACGCTTACTTTAGATAACATTTGTCTTTTAATACAAAATCGCCTTCAGTAACCATTGTTCACGCCTTTAACAACTAAAGCTACAGTTATAAAGTTGGAAAAATTTGTTGTTAAAGCCAATTGTAACTTTTTGTGTAGTACGAGTAATAGCCTTACTATTTCTGGAACTATTCAAGCTGCATTTTTTAAGTTCCAAAATATAAAACAACTCAAAAACCTAAACACCCTGAGCTTTAGTGGCATATAATAACTTTAGTATTTCAAGAAATATGCAGAAAGTAAACTCTTACTCATCCTGTAAATGGCGTTATGGTTTCTATGAGGTTTGTTGCTAAAAATATCGGTATGTTTGCCAAGTGTGGCAAATATACTCGAAGTAAATATCCCCCAATGAGGCAATCTATGAGGTGAAGGTCTATGTTCAGCAATGGACTTTTTATAGGCTGTAATGAATGATGATGATGATGATGAAACGTCTAATGCCATAGTCAATTTTGTTGTATGACAATACAATTTTTGTAACAAACTATTCGTTTGGCAAATTTACGATGAGACATGTAGTCAATAGTCCCAACATAAGGTACAAAACGAATTTCATGAGACTACTATACTTTAACGTTTTGTAGCTCTTCAGTACATAGCAAACATGAGGGGACAGATCCTCATGTATGTAACACATTTTATTATATGTACGGTGCACTGTGGGGCACAGTCCACTCCTCATTTCTGAGAAGACTTAAAAGCAATTAAAAGCAAGGAACTTGGCATCAACGGGGATGTTTTTAATTAAAACACACACACACACACTAAGATTTTTTCCCGCTTTATAGAGGCAGTTTATATACATAAATTGCACAAGGACAAACATCCCAGCCCGGAACAATTTTTTTTGCAGATCATTCATATACTTTTATCGTGCGGGATTCAAACAGGAGCCCTCAGCTCTAAGCCGCTGGGCAACGGAGCCATCAACCCGTGAAACCATGTTACTCGCATAGTGTGACCTGAACAGTGAATGCTTAGCTCCTGAACTACCACGACGCTCAGAAATTAGAGGAGGCCTCTGCTCAGCTGTGGGACATATATGGGATGTAACATAAACTAACTTTTGTAGTCACTCACAAAAGTCGATTATTTCATGCAGCATATGGTAAAGCCACTCTGTAGATAATGGTTGTAGCACGAATGGGTTGGGTCGGGCGATGAAGGTCCACGCTCTCACAGACTACTAGCGTAAAATAGCAGTTTAATGCTGCTGTGTTTCGAATGGTGAGTGCAAAGAATCGGAGACCCTTTTTACTGGAAGCGAGGCATTCCATCTTGATCCTCAGGGGTGATTTTCATTATCAATTTAATACCCATTCGGATGTCTATGGACCACAGCATCTACTTACCATCAGGTGGACTGTTAGCTTGTTTATAACTCTTATACTATAAAAAATCATAGGTGAACTAGTGATTACATTCTCGAAGCTTCAAGAAGCTTTTTCCACAAAATAATGAGGTGACCACTATTATAAATCACGGCTTGAAAAACGACCGCTCTAGTTGTGTAATTAGAGAAGTTTCACTAAAAGGTGCTCCGTAAATAATTGCCGGCGTTAGATTTAGAGAAACTTTCAGAAATGTAAATAAAGTAAATAGAACTTCAGTGTTCGCTTAGCAAATATTTAATGCACGAGAGCATGGCCCATTTTACCCTTAATCCCTCGAGAGAAGTTTAAGAGTATTAAATGAAACTAATTGTTACGGATTTTATCGCGTTAATTTAACTTTTTAATTCCCAACGTTTTTGGTGCTTTACAGCACCCGTGGTTACGGGGGGGGGGGGGGACTGAGGTGGTTGACGTACCGATGTCATAGTTAGCCCAGCTACCTTCAGTTTTTGAGTATTAATTTTTGGTCATATCTACGCAGCATGAGCTTACAGAATATTGAAGTCTTGCAGTGATATACTTGGGTTTGGATTTAATATTATTAACTATAGGATCCCTAGCAGATTATAGCATCCATCCATCTTCTGTATTGAAATTAGAATGTTTTTTAATTTCAATAGCTTCGCGAATCATTCTTGGTAGAAATCGATGTTCTTTTGCGAGGATTTGTGGTTTATCAAATCTAATGTAATGGCGGGGACGATCTAGAACATGTTCACACACTGCAGACTTCCCGGAACGTTAGTGCTTCAAGTCAGCTATATGTTCCTTCAAGTGGGTTTTATTTCTATTAAAGATTTAGATCTATTAAAACCCGCGAGTCGTCGTGCGAGACGATTCGTAATGACTATCGAAAACAGCACGTAGACTCGGCTCATAAGGGAAATCGGTCTGTAGTTCTTCAAGAGAGCGCTGTCGCCTTTCTTGAAAAACAAGACCACTGCACTTCTGCTCCATGCCTCCGTGTAATGCCACCATGGAGGACGAAATAAAAGAGCTTCTTTACTTTAAGTACCGGTTTTCCACCCGCTTTCAAAAGCTCCACTGTAATTTCATCTTCACCTGGGGCCTTGCCATTTTTAAGGTGCTAGAGAGCCATTCTAATCTCGCTAAGACTGACGTCCAGGATATCATGCGAAAAGTGTCGGATAACACTTGCTGTTGAATCGTTACTCACACTTGCGTGTGGCTCCAACTATGACGTGTACAGCTGCCCATAGAACCTCTCAATCTCACTCAAAATCTCAGGTGTCTCGGAAACGATGCTGCCACATTCGGTCTTGAGCTTCGACAGTTGGCACTTTCTGACAGACATATATCTGGCAACGACTTTGGAGCCCTGGTTCCACTCGATAGCTACTTCAATACGAGCAGTATTAAAGTTGCGTAAGTGCCGCCGCATGCCTTTGGAGATCTGTCTGTTCAGTTGTCTGTATGCTATTAAATATACTGAAGATTGCAATTTCATTTCCCGTCTAACAGCCATGAGATTAAGAGTGTGATTGGAGAGTTTTTGTGTTAAACTTAGCCCCGACCGCATGGACAGTTTCCACGAGCTTGTCATTCATATCGTCCACTGCATTGCAATCTTCTAGGCACCGAAAACGGTTTCGTAGCTCGAGCTGAAAGGATTCGGGACTTTGGATTAGAGCACGAGGGGGGCGGAGCATTGACTTCATTAGACGTGACCTCTCTAACTTTACGTTTAGGTTCAGTGTGCCTCTCACCATTCGGTGATCGCTGCCAGTTTTCACCCTCGCGATCACTGAGACATCACTGAACAGTTGTCGTCTGGTCTTCATAATGAAGTCATTCTCATTTTTTGTCGAATCGTCTGGGCTCGACCAGGTCCACTTCCTGTGGGTCCGCTTCTGGAAGAAAGAGTTCATCATAAAGAGTCTCTTTCTCCATGAAGTCGGCCAGCTACTGGCCCCTTGAGTTCCGTTGCCCTATTCCAAATTTTCCTACTTTCAGCTCACCGTTCTCTCTTTGCGTTTAAGTCTCCAATTAATACCGTATAGTGGGATTTAGAGGAGTGCATGGCTCTAGAGATATCCTCATTACATTTCCTCCACCTCCTCATCGGGATGTGCCGAGGTTGGTGCGTAAACCTGTATGACCTTCAGCGAATACCGTTTGGTGATTCTGAGTATAAGGTACGCAACCCTTGTCGACACACTCCCAATATTTACAACGTTGTTAACGAGAGACTTGTTGACGATAAATCCGACGCCTCCTTGGGACAGATGGTCACCCTCTCGGTGATAGAACAAGTTGCTGGATTCGATGATAATCATGTCCTCCCCCACTCTTCGGATTTCGGATAATCCTATAATATTCCAGTCCAACTTGTCTATCTCTTCTTCCAGCTCTAGCATCTTCTCGTCAGTCCTCAGGGTGCGTGCGTTATAAGTTGCCAGGCCGAGTCGTCGTAGGTGGCATCCAAACTTCCACCGGAGATTCTTAGTACCCCTTGCCCTACCGTTACCATAGTCGCTACCGTAGCCAGGAATAGCCGGGCTGACGGGGACTGGGGGCCGTTTATTAATGTCATTGCTCATGGGGGGGTATATTGCCATAGTAGCCATGCTTGGCGAGCGGGTTGGCAACCGCAATTTTTTATTGTAATTTTGCTGTTATCAGAAAGATTTTGCTGCCCATCTTCTGCCTCGGTTTCCCTCTGTCACCTTTTACGACACCCACGGGAATATATGGGGTAGTGAGTATTCTTACCCACCACTACATGCTATGTATTAGTATATGGCTATTTCTCATAACAAATAAATCCGGAGTATGATTGATTATAATTACTAAAATAAATAAATACGGAGTATGATAGTATGGTTGCAAGGTAGTTGTTCTATGGACCTTGCGAGCCTCAACCCCACTTACCTATTTCTATCCAATACTTACCTATTTTTGCCGCCATATCGCGGTACTTACACTACTGTGTTGCGGTTTGAAGGGTATACAGAGCCAGTACAATCACAGACTGTGAGCGATTCAAGCTGTAATGATATAATCCTCAAAGATGAAAACGCAACTGTAGCCTTGTATGTTAGAAGTTGACTGCAGGTGTTCATGGGCTTCAGTAGCCGCTCATCATCAAGTGGAGTGTACATAATCGTTTGATACTTCAATATTTTTTAAGATAAATTAATCAATACCTTCATACTTATCACATATCAATTGTTTAATAAATAGTAATTGAAGTCGGTTTTTACTATCAAGAATAATTATCAAAATTCGTAAAATAAACGGGGTGTAATCAACTTGAATTGGGTTAAGGAAAACCAACAAAAAATTACTTAAGCGGAAAGGAAAATTAAATGGTTTAAAAAAACTTGTTGTGAAGTGCCCTTAAACAAGATGAATGACTTTACAGTGAGACTTCTAAATCAAATTAGTTGCGACGTTTTCATAATTTTGCGATGTCACAAAACAGCTTTCTCTCTTAAGTTTTCAGACAACTTTAAAAAAGAGGAGGTTTACAATTCTACCATTTGTTTTTGCATGTGTACGAGGGTAACACTGAAAGTACTTAGAAAATCAAAAACTGAACAAACTAGCAAGTTCAGAACTCAGAACACATAGCTGATGTGAAGAATCGACGCTCCGGGAAGTCTGCAGTCTGTGAACACGTACAGGATCGCCCCCGTCACTACATTAGAATTGATAGACCACAAATCCTCGCTAAAAACACCGATTCCTTCCAAGGATGATTCGCGAGGCTATTGAAATCAAAAAACATCCTAATTTCAGTAGAGAAGATGGCTGGGTGCTACCATCTGATTGGGATCCCATAATTAATAAAATTAAATCCCAACCCAAGTATACAACTGCAAGATTTCATGATACTGTAAGTTCATACTCCGTAGATCGGAAAATTAATACTTTTTAATCTGGAGGTGGCCGTGGTTAACTATGACATTGCGACGTCATACACCTCAGTCCCCCCGTGATTAGGGTGCTGTAAAGTGCTCAAAACGTCGGGAATATAAAATAAGTTAATATACGCGATAAAATCCGTAAAATTAGTTTTATTTAAATGTGTAGTGTTCGCGTAAATATTAGAAATCATTATGTAAAATAGCAAGTTATTACTTTTATTTTTATTATACGAGTATCTTTTCAAAATAATGTCCATTTACATCAATACACCGCTGCATCCGATGGAACCACCGAGAAAAGCACTTTGCCCATTCGTCCTTAGGGGTCTCTTCGACGGCATTTTAAAACGCAGCCACCGCTTCCTCGGCGTCCATAAAACGTTTTCCTCGAAGTTTTTCTTTTATTTTCGAAAATAATTAAAGATCACAAGGTGCGAGGTCGGTGCTATAACACTGTAACTCCACGTCTGACGTCGCCAAGTAGTCAATTGTTTGCTTGGCGGTGTGCGACGATGCGTTGTCTTGGTGAAGGAGGATCCTAATGCGAGGTCGTTTCTCCTGAACTTTTCCAAGACAAGTGACAAAAAATTGTAAGTGTACTACTCTGCAGTAACTGTTTTACGATCCTCTAAAATAATGGTTGCGTAATGACCTGTCCTTGCGAAGAACGAGGCCACCATCTTTTTTCCCACGCTTCGAGCTCTCTTCACTTTAGTTGGCAAATCCTCGAAAGGAAACACTCAGACAGCAGACTGTCTCTTAGTTTCAGGATCATAACAATAAATCCAGCTTTCGTCACCCGTAAGTATGTCCAACACAGCATTTGAATCATCTCCGTTAAAACTTGAAACCGTTAAACTCCGTTAAACGACACCAACCAACACGACGAAGTTTTTGGCCTCTGTCAAATTATAAGGTATCCACCGGGCACAAGCCTTCCTGTGCGCTAAATTTTCATGGAATATTCTGTGCACTTGACTCATGCCTAAGCTTGTCAAAATCTGCTGATAAGTCACTCTTTTGGTAGTCTCTATCATACGCCGCACAACACTGATGTCATTTTTAGTCGTCGCCGTAGAAGACCGTCCCTCACGCAGATCATCGGTGAGATTAGTACGACCACGCTTAAACTCATTAAGCCAATTGTAAAAAGTGGCGCACGAGATGGGGCTTCATCGAGAAATGCCAATCGAAGTCTATCATAACTTTTTTGTTGACTTAAGTGACATCGAAAGTCATAAAAAATCATTGTACGAAAATTTTCTCGCGTTAAATTCACGCTGACGTGACGCACAAAATTTTCCATTTGCCGCCAAATCGTAAACAAATGACAAATTAATAAAATACATACACAATAATATTGTTAAAGAGTTCCATTTTCAAAATTTGTACTTATTTTTTATTCTATCATTTAAAAGTGGCCAGCTCTGATAACTTTCTTATAACTTCGTATAACGCGATACTTCGTCGAGTGTGAACCGATTTTTAAGATTCTTTTTTTACTAAACAAGTTATACTTTAGGGCTGGTTCCACATAAATTTAGAGAAAAAATCCATCTATAAGAGTGGCTATACGGGTATGAAGTTTTTAATGTAATTATTTAGACAACATCGAGGTTGTAATATTATTTTAATAAATAGTAAAGGAGAATGCCAGATCGTGCCCCACCTTGTACAAAAAAGGTAAAAATATGAAAAATAATCTTATAAATTTTGAAAAAATCGTTATTTTGTACAACTAGCGGTAAAATATTATTAAAAAAAAAGGATTTCAACGGTTAATATTTACATTTCAAGTCTTTTCTAATAACATCAGTGTTTCTTTGTACGAATAAGTACATACGTATGCATAAAGTATCAAACAATACATATTTCTATTAAGATATATAAATATAATTCTTTGTCATATAAGAATGTTGTAGCCAGTGGAAGGAAAAGCGGTGATCTTCCGCCGGGCAAGGTGTGCTGCCCGGAGAGCGGCCAACGCTCCTATTGGTAGTTCGGAGCTATTGTACCTAGTCAGGTCATAAATTCTGTCATATGTTTAATATAAAATAATTGAAACAAGTTTATTCATTATGTAACCATTTATATACAAAAATGAACTTAACAAAACATATAGATTCTTATGACACTAAAGTTTATTCAAAATGACCTCCGTGATTTTGAATACAGGCCTTCAATCTGCGCGGCCAGCCGTCTATCGCAGCACGAACGAGGTCCATGTCAATATCGGCGGCTGCCTTAATCAAGGATGTCTTGAGTGACTCCAAATTGGGATGAGGCTTTGAGCACGCCTTTTCCTCCAAGTGTTGCCATATCTTGTAATCTAACGGATTCAAATCTGGACTGGAGGGGGCCATTCTTCGTGCCGGATGAAGTCGATTTCTCGCGCCGCCAGCCAGTCTTGTGTGCTCTTCGCTCTATGAGCTGGCGCCGAATCTTGTTGGAATACCCAGTGCCTGTTATTGAACATGGTATGAGAAACAGGTTCCACAAGGTTCGTCAGGACTGTATTTTGATACACAACTGCATTCGTTTTTACACCTTTCTCACAAAAATGTACCTCTGTTAAGCCCCAATAAGAAACTCCCAACCATACCATGAGCGAGGATGGAAAATGACCTCGTTGGACACCCGGAATACGGTTGCTTGCTTCTTCACTTCTGTGTGCGTACACCTCATCATTTTGTTTGTTGTAGCTCTCTTCTAGGGTAAAAATTTTTTCATCCGAAAAAAGAATTTCCCGATATTTTTTTCCCGCGTACCGCTTCAACAAAGCGCGGTATCTCTTCAGTCTCAGGTCCATTAGTCCAGCATTCAAACGATGTCCTGTTTTTCTTCGATATGCCCGAATCCCTAAGTCTTCATTTAACACCCTTTTCACCGTGATTCTGCTTAACCCCATCTGAAGGGCCAACAGTTTCTGCTTACGTTTGGGATTTCTTTGAATTTGCGCCTTCACAGCTTTTATCACTGCTGGAGTCTTAACAGACCGAGGGCTACCATTTCTTGACCTGTCATCTACACTAGAGTCTTCATTGTATCGTTTGATGGTACGATAAACGAATCTTTTGGTTATATTCAAATTTTTCAGTATGTCAAAAATTTGAATTGGCGCGTAACCGCAACGATGCAACGCAATAACTGCAACACGGTCTTCTTTAAGCGTCCACTCCATATTTAAAAATTAGTAAATTTCTAAAAAGTATACAGTTTTATTTTCATGATCAATTCGAAATTCGAATTCAAAAAACTTTTTTGTGGCCAGCATTCTAAAAGAAAAGTTTTTACTGTGTGACAATACTTATGACCTGACTAGGTATTTATGCTGCATTAACTTCGGAACTTTGTTAGTGCGATTTAGGCTTCGATGTGTTCCGCTTGTGGCGCGACGACATCACCGCCACATCACCCCCCTGCTTAGACCGGAGATCGATAGAGCAGTCCAGATGTCGACGAATTTGCAAGTGCCAGGGAATTGCCTTGTAAGTCTGCGGTGAGTCGAGAAGAAGGCAAGTAATCTGGGAGAGTGTCGTGAAGCAGAGGCGAGCAGTAAGGCTCAGAGCCGTGCCGAACACTGTAGCGCAGAGAGTAGCTTGAAGGATTAGGAAGCATTATTATTCCAGTGCTGCGATGAACCTTTGTAAAGCTAGATGGCTTGCAGAATG